TTTGTTAAAGGTGGAGCCCTATTTAAATAAAAAAAAAGAGAGATGACACATGTTCCTGCTCCCGTCCGCCGACTCCAGCTTCCACTTGTGATTCGCGAACCACTCCCGCTTTCTCTCTGCTGCGAATCGAAGAGTTGCAACCCCTGACACCGCTTTTATTTTTCCGTTCGTGATACAACACCTGTCTCCACTGGAAAATCTCGCCTCTCCTTTGTGAAGCAGAAGAAGAAAAGAACACATCGAAAAGCTTCGGTTGCTCCTCCCTTTGGCTTCGACATTCTTGTTTAGGGAAAAAGAGATGTAATTTGCAAGGCAAGAATTCTCCCTTTGGTTGGTAGGAATTCGGTGAGGCCTTATATTGGGGCAAAAATATTTAACAACAAGTTTGATTCTCCCATATATTTTTTCCTTGTTTCTTCTTCTTTGGTGTATCTCATTGTAGAGAGAGAAGAATATAGAGTGAGAAAGTGAGAGACTTTCTCCTGTAATTGTCGAAGGGATCGACTAGTGCAAAATTTTCAATTAGAAAATTCTCTGCAATAAAATCCTCTGCAACTCCGTGGATATAGACAATTTGTCAATCCATGTAAATTTGTGTGTTCTTTTGGTGTGAATCTTCTCGTTCTATTTTTCGCTTCATCGTCGATCGTTTTCTATTTAAATATACCACAACAATAGTTGCTCCATAATTGGGTTACAAGAACAATAAGTAGTACACAAGTTATAATTGGTAGTTATAATAGTAGTAATTGACTGCAACGATTACTGGCAGTGATTGAAAACGATTGATGGTTGCTTACCTACACTTCTCTCCAAGAGTTATTTAACAGCTGTAAACTTATATTATCTTTTCCTCCCCTCCAAGTAAAAAATGGTGGCCTATCTATAAATTTTCAATCAGACATTTTAGTAGTCTGCCTAACAAAATATGTTATGCTAATACATGTTAAGTGTCAAATGATTGGAAGATGTAATTCAAAAGATAAAACTAAAAACAACATGATAACATTGTAAAATGATGGACGGTGTAATTGAAAAATGCCCCAAAAAATCAAAATGAAAATTTAAACTTTCACCATATCTGACGCTTTACATTTTCCAATATTATAATATTTTATAATTGTCCGGAATAATTTGTTGTTGAACAGTACAAAAAATGGTCGAGTCACCAGACAATTTTCGAGCCCAATCGACTCAAAATCAAATATAATGTGCTGTGTGCTGTTTTCGAGCCGCACTAAATCTATTCGAGCTGATTTTGAGCAGATTCTAGCACGGATCAAACTCGAATCTTTATCGGTCCTACTTGGAGGTTGGAAGTTAAATCAATGGAAAAGAAAGAGTTGGGTTCTTAGGTTTTGCTAAGGAAAATATTTCAATTATTTATGCATACTTCCATGTGATGTTGAATATGACCGCAATAATTGATAATTGAAATTTGATAATGACCCATATGACCATATAATTATAATCCCACATTAACATTAAAATATTGTAATGTAATGTAACACTTGAAAGGGACAGATTAATTAATGGTTAATGGGATTAAAAAATCCACCCGAAGTTAGAGGTTTCTAATTTTCTAATATTTCCCTTTAATTTTTTTGCCCATTAATTTTATATATTTCTAATAAAATAATTTAAAAATAAATAAATTCTATAGCTCTCATTATAAATTATATTTATTAAGTAGAAAGGGAAGCATCTTCTTGACGTTTTTGGTCTTAGTTATTAGTTTATTTGTCAGTTGCTCTAACGATGCAATCATTTATGTTAGTCAAATACAACCACTACCGAAAATTTTTAATTTTTATAACACTTTTTTTAAGTATGATTAAGTGTAAAATTTTAATCATTTTATTATTATTATTATTATTATTATGATAAGTATGATTAAGTGTAAAATTTTAATCATTTTATTCTTATTATTATTATGAAAATAATATATTTAAGAGATTAATTTCATAAGTTTGCTTTCAAGTAAAATGAAACCAAATAAATAAAAATAAATTGAACTTGAGGTTACAAAGAATTACAAATGTTTCAACAGCTTATTAGAGCAACTGCGTTGTTGAACCTAAATTTGTCCTTTGGCTCGTGCTCA